TTGCCCACCCATTCCACACTTGACCCGGTCCCTCCAGGCGGATCCCGAGGAGCTAGGGAATTTCGTGACAGACACAGAACGACAGACAGAACGACAGACGACAGACGAAGCGCTTTATAGTAAGTAGGATACTATAAGTACAACCCCAAATCTATGAAAAGAACCTACCTCAGGTTCGGCCATGGGAGCATCTACCTCAGGAAGCGATGGTGTTTCCTCACTGTTGTTCTGGAGAGCGGCAGTTGAAGTTGTTTGTCGAATAAATTCTCGCGTGCACTGTGAAGCATGACGATGAATTGAGGATAAATTTAAACTGTATGCGTGAATAAAGAAGGCTAGACTAGCCACAGACCTTCAGCGTCAATTCTAAATTCTTTCGCAACGCCATCTCCTTAACGAGTCGTTCACGTAAGGCTATCAAACTTTCTCTCTTCTCACGATTCCGTTGCTCTTCCTCACTGGACTCCTTTTTACCATGTGTCCGAATTGTTTCAGTTGTAGGAGTAGCCTAAAAGGTCCATAATAAAATGGCGGATGCCGAGTTGAGTAAAATTGAAAAAAAAGAAGCAGAGCGGACCGTTGATGAAACCCCTAAACAAAGACTCCCTCTCTTCAAGCTTGAAATAGGAGGGGCGTTCCGGACGAGCTGTCCGAACTTGCCTGCTTCATGGTTCCACCAACCCGCCCGTATTTAAATTCAACTACGCCGTAATCCACGTTGCGTGTGGTGGGGTGTGCGAGAGGTACCTCGTCCATTTACAGCCCCAACGCCATTGTCGACTACTTTCGAGCCGCGACCACGGCACATCTGTGATACTCGTGGGTGTGATATTCGACCATGCGTTGTTTTATCCCAATCGCCTCCTCGAAAATCCACCGTAGCCTCAACAAGCTTTAACGCCCCCCCCCCGGCTTTTCACTCCTTCCATTGCATTTTTGTTATAGAAGCGACCAGCCTTCATTCTTACTCCACAATTGGCTTTCCAAAGTAATATATTCCGCCGCGGATACTGTTTTTGAACGGTCTGAAGGTTTCAAGATCGAACCTATGGAGGGCACAGAGTAAGGCTTTTGCTGTAGCCATGTAATTCATTTGAAACTAAATTTCTTTTACTACAGTAGCCCGATGTATCCAGCTAAAAGATTTCACCTCATTTTCGACTGTTTGCTCTGTATTCTATGCCATCACCTTCCTCCACTTCTTTTTCTCCCAAATTCTTGAAAGAAGAAGCCAAACCTCATCTATCTCACCACAATATTCTGAAAATACTCAAGTAATGGTCAAACCTTTTCGAAAGAGGGAGAGCGTGGAGGGTAGTCCACTTTGGGAATGCTTGCCGGTATGTCCAAATTTGGCGTCTGTGCAACGGGTCTCGTAGCTAAAATAACTCAATTTTCCGATCTGATAGATATGATAAATCAAAAATTACCTTCTTTCTTATAATACACATCGATTGAGTCAGTTTTGAGGCGCCGAGTAAATGTCCAAGAAGCATCGTCGAACGTCACTGGGAGCATTTCCATTCTTGGGGGATCTTCAAACACCTTCACCGTACCTCGTCACAGTCACGGTAATTTTGCAGACAATCACTTTTGAGCAAATATGATCGGTGTGCTCTATGATTAACTGCTATACAAGGCCATCATAAAACATCAAAACATCGAAAATGTTACTGAAAAGTACTCTCAATCTTCATGATCAATATTGACCGGCCTATGTAATACGAATTATTTCCGTAAACTTCTTGAAGGAGATTCCAGTAAGAAACTAAACGTCAAGTCGAAAAAGAATATATCCTATGGGGGAGCGGATCTCTAAGGTGGAGGTACTGACACACAATTGTCAGTGAAGGTTGCATCTCCGATCTAGCATCTGCTCCTCTTGGGCAAACTGCAGCTACGCCCATCGATCATCTCATACCCTCGCCGCAGTCTAATACGTGGCGAGTGATTAGATAGCTGAGAGAGCGTAGTGTTGAAGAGGGCACAGCGATGAGAGTCGCATCAATGCGCAATCAACGGGCAAGGAAGGGGTCCCATTTCTCGGGTTCTGGGCCGTTTCTCATGGTTCTTCTTTCTGTGTACCCTCCTCCATCCTTAACTTAATTTGGAATGTGTTGCTTTTTCATAGTAAAATTCTGCCTTTGAACCGACTGATCATGTCCACATCGGCTTTTCCACAAGTCTATCGGCCAGCATCTTTCATACAAAGTATTTCTACCTATCATTTCCTATCACACATCCTACTGGCACTGCTTACTTACAGTGTATTTTTTATGGCGAAAGTCGGGATCATCAAGAAGAAGAACTATAGAAATTTCTGGAAGCGATACTGGTATTAATATTATCTCGGAGTGGGCATCAAACCTTTACAGAGTTTCGGGAGACTAATTATATCGATGACCTTGCAATCATCCTCATCTCGCCTTATCCAGACGCACATTATCCCACTGCACCTAAACCGGCTTCCACGCTGAGGAAAGCACTGAATCAATGACTACGATTTCTTGGCGAGCTGAACGACATATTATGTACAATGGAAGGGAATATTAGAAGTAATTGCTGAAGTGGAAAAAATGAAAAGACGTCAAAGCGAGAGATTATGACAAGATTGGGCTGGGTTCCTAGTGGAAGTGGGGATACTGAATGTCTCGGTGATAAAAAAGCAAAAAAAAATCGTCAAGAACACGCAAAATGGGTCCCTCTTTCTTTGCACCGGACCTCCGATATGGACGAGCCTGCAACGAATTAAGGGGTAGTTTGCAAGTGTTAAACCGATAACCATCATCCTGTCACCAAACACCATGCTTTGATTCAACACATCCTTACGGAAAAGTTGTAGGATACCGACCCTCGAAGTAAAACCCTTTGCAAAAACGATAATCAAAGGGTGCTGTTGCTGAGGGCGGAGCACAGCGGAGCGAGTGCTCAAGCGGATCATTGCAAGCCCAGCTGCGCTGCAACCAGCTACTAGGCCGCAAAAAAGCCACATCTCGCTTCCTTTAGACCCCTGACTACCGCTTCCACTGGTGCATGTACTTCCATGCTGCACACACACAATATCGTGATTTCTCGCTTTAACCATATCCATGTATAAAGTACAAATAACAAAATGGTTGCGATAGAGAATTTGTTCTATCAATTTTGAAATATTACAGCTTTCCTGTCATATAATAATTGTACGCAGCACATTCACTGCCCACGTTATTGAATCAAAACGCTAAACCATAAAAATTGAACTATATTATACTTGTCAAGTTTTACCTGCAAAGTTGCCATTTTGTACAGACTCGCATACTCTAGTCTTTTCAGTAAGTCGAACTCCAGCATTCCTTCCTCCGCCATTAAGTAATCTTCACACCTCCATAGAATGTGTTCCACTCCGAAACGATACGAGGTAGAGATCAAAGGAGAGAGTGTATCTTCTGAAGTGCAAAATACTGATAGAAACTGAATACGGATGCGATGTCTTCACCAGTACTAACTTGGAAGGAGATCACACATGAACATTCTCATACAAACGACAGTGTAAGCATGTTTTGGTTTAATGAAAGGGAAGTTCCCTTCTTAATAACTCACTTGTTATTTCGATGCCAGGTGGGTAAATCGCTTTCAACAACATAAGAAATTCTTCAAAATCCACATCTTCAAGCGTGAATATTCCACCGCTTGCTTCGATCGTCCCTGGTTCACCAATACCTATTAAAATAACTACTTTACGCATACCATAACCTATTGAAATAACTACTCTATGTATATTTATCAGAATTCAGAATTATCCAGCACAACACGAAGTAGATTCACTAAATATTGGAATGTGAATCGACAGTGGTGCAGAGGTGAGCGCCGACAAGTGATAACTCTATCCCTAAACGAGGGTGCTGCAGTGAGACAGTCACAATATAGCATTCAGAATTTTGGTGGAAATGAAGAGCTTACGAACAGCTCAGTTATAATAATGTAAGGAGAAGAGCCAAACTGTGTCAGATCCAAGCAAAGTGGGAAGAATTAAGACGTTCCACATGCCTGGTGCAGCCGTCTGCCACTTCTCTGACTGGCCCCGAACACTTAAAACGTTTCAAGAAATATTATGACTGTTACATCCATTCAGTCGATTAACAGCATTTCATTTGAAAAAGCAGATTCAAAACAGCGCAGGGACAGATATCAACCGCAAGCTCGATCGTGATTTTTTTTTATTTCTGGAGAGCTATTAATCAACCTAGTCAATACCTTGGACACCTCTAACGAAAATTCTTGAAATTACTCATATATTGAACAGTAGTTATCGCCGCTTTCATTGAATGCCAGTAACTTCATTAAGACAATCCGGTTCGCTCTTCAGTTTCTTCCAGACGCAACCAGCAGAGCTCCAACTACCTGGACAAAAGTGGATTCCATTACCAGTGGCACTGGTCAGCTCCAAAAGGTTTTGAGAACGAAATCAGCGATGCGTCGGCGTAATTTATTGTCAGTCTTGGTTGAAAGCTTAATAACAACTAGTCCATCGTATTCTGAAGACTTTGCCAAAATTATTCAAATCAAACTTAGACACTTCAATCCTGATTGCTCTCCCTTTTGAATCTGCAAGTTTGACTAAAGACAGCACGGGGTGCGGCAGGTAGCCGCGAAACAATCAAATGGAAACGATGTCCCAAATAGTGGTGAGATACGTGAAAAGTCAAGTACCGCTCAATAGAATGTCGTTACTCCAATGAAACGTTGAGTGGTCATTAGTAGTTCTGGCAGTAGCCGTCATATCGCACCTCTGAACAACATCACAATTGAACTGAGCGTACAATTGTACTGTTGAACATGCTTTCATTTCTAATGAGTACACCTTCCGAAAGAGACAAAAATGAATAACCTCAGGCTCATCACATCAAAATCGCTCATATCGTCAACTTCTGAGGCGTGATCAGGAACCGACGGACTTTTATTCACAATAGCCTGTATTCGCAAAGTATTTTGCAAAGTAAGGTTTGAATGGGATCGAGAGTACTGAAAAAAAAAAGCATGAGCAAAAAGCGAGCAAGGTTTCCCAGACTGTACTGACTGATGGTGAGAACCTGTACTGAATCGAAAAGACCTTGCGAAAAGTCGCTAAATTTCCGCAACTAACAAGGAAGGTCTTCAGGTCATGGAGCGCTTTTTCGAAACGGTTTCTGCATGTTGTGGGGGCTCATACGAGGAACACAGAACCATAATCCATTTTTCCTGAACGCCTCCAGGAAATGTCAAAACATTGGTGAAGAAATGGTCCCGAGTTCGATCCCCGGTGATGACTAATTTTTGCAATATAGTTTGGCGGCCCCAGATTGCGGCCAAATGGCTCCATCGTCGAGAATAGATGTAATTGTCGTGTTTTGCGGCATTTTGGAGGCCCCAAGATAAATTGCAAAAATTTGTCATGACGGGGATCGAACTTTGGACCATTTCTTCTCCCTGTTTTGAGACTCCTAGGGGCGTTCAGGAAAAATGGACCATGGTTCTGTATTCCTCACATGAGAATCTACAAAATTAGGGAACCATTTTGAAAAAAAAACGCTCCATGTCCTGAAAGACCCTCCTTGTAAGAGAGAGAGTTGGAAAAAAAAGGAACTTTTTTATTTTGGAGTCAAGAACTCATCAGACACCAACGTACTTGACCAAGCATGGGATTTTTTGCTGGCTCGCAAATACGTCATGAAGAAACTTACTTGTGAATTGACATAAAGTTTCCGAGGCGTATTTCGGAACGTAATGCACAAATCAGAGAGAGCTGAGGGCATGAAGAAATCAGTCGTCAATGATGAGCTGCTGCTGTAAACGTAACAATTTCAGCGAAATTGCAAAGCAAATTGATAGCGCTTCAATTACCGATAGCCAACAACATTGTGAATCTCGAACGAAATCTCGAACTTCAGTTGATCCGAAGGAACCTCTGCGCGTGGGATCACGAATAAATGCTTGCGATTGCGAGAGTTAAACCTGACGCAAGCCTGAATATACCTTTATTGGTCACAGCAAAGGGGTCTCATCCAGTAAGGGGAGCATGTGGTGCGACAGTTCATATGCATGAAGTAATCCACTTTTTTTCAGGGAGGGAAGCTCCGGGGTGGGTGTAAAAGTTTAAGCGAAATGGTTCACGCACCCCGGGGATTCCCTCCCCTTGCAAAAATTGGAATTTCTGTAGCCGGCAAGAACTGTCACACCACATGCCCCCCTTACTGGATGAGACCCCAGCAAAGAAATCAAGCCAGGAACAAATAAAAGCTCGTTAAGTAAGGGAACGGTCATAGCGATACGCATAAGCGTGAGCAGCGATAGGCACACCACTTGAATTGCCTTTTGTGCCAAAAAAAGAAAATCAAGAGAGGGTCAAATACAAAGCAACTTGCATGTTTTTGACTTGAATTCCTACACTTTCATAATGTACGAGTTTATATGTTGCGAAATGTTGGACGACATTTTGCGTTGATCATGTGGGCTTGTTAGATAAAATTATAATTATGACCCAACATCTTCCAATAAAATACC